TATTATTACAAAATTTGTTGGTAAGTTCTCGTGATCTTGTTTCCATGGCAACTTAGCTACGTACCTGTTTTTACGAAATTCTACTGAGGTTTTCTGGTACACATTCATAAAGTCGATATTTTCATCCTCCGGTTCTACGTCGACTACTCCTAATGACTCCAATTTCCAAAATGCTTCTAAATTAAACTCTTCCGGTTTGTGATTTGTCAAAATGTTGAACATTCCTACGGCTCCTGATTTACGATTCAAATCTGGTGATGTCGGACCAGACAACAGGTAACCAAGTTTAGACTTAACTGCTGTCGGACCTTTTCCTCTTATAACGGTATCTTCTATAAAATCCCAGTAAAAATCTGCTCCTATCAGTAAAGATATACTAAACTTGTCGTCGTTTGTGATCGGATGTGCTAATTGTAATCCTTTGAGATGTTTGCAATCTCGGGTATCATTTTCACTATAACTTGTAATCGGACTTGCTATAGTTGGGACTACTAAGACTTCAATGGGTATTTTTACTCCTTCTGTTGACTCAACGTATACAATTGCTTGCGGTAAATGTCGAACTTTAGTACTAGTAATTCCAAATGCAGAAAGGTGAATAACTTCTGTACCTACTGCCTTTATGTCTAGTTTTGAAGCTAATTCCTCGGTCACGAAAGAACGCTGTGCTCCTTCATCGAACAATATATTCATATTCATTCCTTGATGTTCACTCCAAACAGGTGCTATGGCGGTTTTCAATAATACGCTTGAACGGGGTTGTATCGTGGACGAATGAAAACTTGTGGCAGTGGCAACACTTTCATTGTTGACTACGGTGTTTACTGACGTTTCATATTTATTTCCATTTGACGCTTTATCAAAGTACGATCTATCGGTATGTTTGGTACATAAACTAGTATGGTGCTTCTTGTTACAGAGTCGGCAACGAAATTGAGATCTACATTCACTTGCTCGGTGCGTTCCTAAGCAATTAAAACATAATTTCTTGTGTTTTATAATTGTTATACGGTGTTCATAATCTGGAACTTTTAAGCATTTTGCGGGGTCGTGCATATCGTAGCAATATATGCAAGGTTTCTGACGAATATTCGTACTTTGTTTCTGGCGGTTTTCAGATCTATCTTGCATTCGCGGGTAATCTCTTTTATTGGTGCTTGTTAAAAATGACGCTGTAGACGGTACATTTTCAATAACTACATCGGTGCGTTTTCCAGCTTCCAAAATTGTAATTTCTTTCAATATCCTGTGTCTCAGTTCTTTTAATTCCCAATTATCAGTTCCGTTTTCCCTGGCTAAGTTCTGTCTTACAACTGACGGTAGCTTATTCAAGATGATTGGGATGAGCAGTGCGCCATATGAATCTACCTAACGATTCTAGACCTCTTATATATGCTTCTTGTTTGTCGTGATAATTTCGGAGGCTAATAATGTTGTATTGCGGTGAAGGAAGTTCTAATAGGGCTTGCATGTAGGCATTTGTGATTTTATGTGGCTGACCAAAACGTTCTTTTAATAATTTTATAGCTTCCGTATAATTATTGTTTGTGAGCGGTAGTCCATCAATACATCGAACGGCTTCATTACTAAGTTGCGATTTCAAATATGTGAATTTCTGTATGTCGGTAAGTGTGGGATTATAGTGTACAGATGATTCGAACGAGTCCCAAAAAGTTTGCCACATGAGTGTTTCTCCTGTAAATGTAGGTAAGGTGAGTTTCGGAAGTTGGTGATTTTGCATAACGTTGGGCGGAACATGGTACATTTGTTGTTGAACAGAGCTATATGTATTTTCTACTGAACTATGCTGATTCGTATTTTCCGTTGATTGATTATTCAGATTAGGTAAGGTGGTAATGTTCGAAGTTGGTGAATTTGAGTATTTTTTACGAATGTGTCTAATTTTAGTATTCAGAAAGAATTTATACTCATCTGTCTGTAGAATTTCATCCTCAACATCCTCATCCTTTGTTAAATTTAGAATTTCTTCATCCAAAGCACTAATAATCTTCTGTTTTTGCGAAAGTGTTTCTAATAATTCTGTACTTTCTTCTATGTCTAAATTCTGGTCTTCTTCAGATTTTCTCAAAAGTCTTGTTACAGCACTTTTATGGCCTGCTCTCACCGCTTTCAGTTTACTTTCCATGGCGTCACGGCACCAAAATGTATTGTAATAAACGAATAAAACTCTATACTTTGCGTTGTGTTACTTTTATGATCAAAATCTATATCGAAGGCGCCCATACAAAGGTACAAATTAACGTCATAAACATAAGACGTAAATACGGGAAACATAACGTTAACATTTGCAGTATATTCTCAACAGTAAAATGTTGTTCATATAATGACATGTAACAGTGTCTTAGAGTAATAGCATAATTCTAAATCAATTGATTACAGAGTTCTGGCCTTGACAGGCCTGTTAAAAAAAATTAAGCAGAATTCAGTGTTAACCCATATGTATCCCTATACTGAAGAAACATAATTAATCAAGTAAATTAGATCACTGAAAAAGATAGCAAGTATTAATATATGTGTGCCATAGTTTGTTAAGCTTTTGTTTTTACTTGTTTCTAAAGCTTGTATGTTTTTTTTTATTGCTAGCAATAAATTAATGGACCTTTACTAGACAACAGCAATTTCCCGACTTTCAGCTATTATTTTTATTTATACTTTCAAATTGACAGCAGCCGGTGATAAACCTCTGCTTCTGTTTATGATTATATCCTGCAATTAGGTGTCTTGTTACACATTTACATCCAAACAGATATTGCTTTGCTATAATTTTGCTTCTGACAACTAAAGAAATTGTACAGAATTGACTTTCCTGATGACTTACTGAGCCTTTACAGCACTGACTTTCCAGATGACAAAGAGAACCTTAACAAAATTAATTTTCAGTTAACTTACAAACCCTGTACAGAATTGACTTTCCTAATGATTTCCAGAGCCTTTACAGAATTGATCTTCCTGATGACTTACAGAGCCTTTGCAGAATTGATCTTCCTGACGACTTTAAAGAGAACCTTTACAATTGATTTTCCAGATGACTTACAGAGCCTTTACACAATTGTCTTTCCTGATGACTCACAGAGCCTTTACAGATTTGACTTTCCTGATGACCTACAGAACCTTTACAGAGTTGACTTTCCTGATGACTTACAGAACCTTTACAGAATTGGAATTCCTGATGACTTAACGAGCCTTTACAGAATTGACCTTCCTGATGACTTACATGACTTTCCTGGTGATCTACAGAACCTTTACAGAATTGACTTACCTGATGACTTACAGATCCTTTACAGAATTGACTTTCCTGATGACTTACAGAGCCTTTACAGAATTGACTTTCCTGAAGACTTACAGAGCCTTTACAGAATTGACTTTCCTGATGACTTACAGAGCCTTTAAAGAATTGACTTTCCTGATGACTTAACGATCCTTTACAGAATTGACCTTCCTGATGACTTAAGAGTCTTTACAGCATGAATCTTTTTGATGACTTACAGAACCTTTACAGAATTGACTTTCCTGATGACTTACAGAGCCTTTACAGAATTGACTTTCCTGAAGACTTACATGACTTTCCTGGTGATCTACAGAACCTTTACAGAATTGACTTACCTGATGACTTAACGAGTCTTCACAGAATTGACTTTCCTGATTACTTAAAGAGTCTTAATGGAATTGTCTTTCCTGATGACTAACAGAGCCTTTACAGAATTGACTTTCCTAATGACTTACAGAGCCATTACAGAATTGAATATCCCAATGTCTTACAGAGCCTATACAAAATTGTCTTTCTTGATGACTTAAGGACTTACAGAGCCTTTACAGAAATGACTTTCCTGATGACTTGTATATTCTGTACAGAATTGATCTTCTTACAGTATCAGCTATATCTAATGGTTATGCTATAGATATTCAGTAAATTAAAGTACAGTCGAACCTCGTTGTGTCGAAAACTCGGATGAGTCGAAGTAATTTCTCGGTCCCGGTAAAATTCCCGTTTGATCAATGCATAACATAATTACCTCTGATGAGTAGAACTCGGTTGATTCGAATACTCGGTTAAGTCGAGTAAATTTTATAGTCCCGTCGATGTTAAATTCATGTAAATCCACCCCGATGACTCGAAGTTCAAAAGTAAGAATTTTCAAAAGATGCAGACCTAATGATAAAATTTCAAATCGGATGTATTTTTTATGTAACCTAATCATTTTCCAAAGAGATTAAAGCTGAGTAAACATACTTGTTTGTATAACAGTTAAAATGACATGTTTATGGTGACCAGTAATTAACACCTTTGGTTGATCGTTCAAGCGGAATGTTAGTGTGTTGAACATTTTTCACATCAGATAAAAACAAAATGAATTTAAATGACCCAAGCCGATATTAAATAAATCGTTAGATTTAAAACTCATTAATTACAATAAATAAAAGGATTAGGACAATTATGATAAATTCATGATAATTTAATGTAAAGCAGACGACCTCTGGCTCATCAGAGACCGTTCATAACTTAATTCGTTCTGCGAGTGATTTCATAATTTATAGTGACTGACCTTTGTAAATATTTGTGCAGACTATTGATTTTATTTGTGCATGATTTGTATCTGTACTTGTGTGTTTAATTATTATGAAGGACCAAAAATGGAGATTGAATACACAATCATAAAGTGTCATATCGAAAAAAAGGCACACTGTTCATTGTATCTAGTTTACACAATTCATATCGTATTTCATGCATTCCAAATTTATGACGACACACTTGACCTCGGATGAGTCGAACCTCGGATGTGTCGAATACTTTGGTCCGGTCCCTTTGACTTCGAAACAACGAGGTTGGACTGTAGTAGTGATTTTCCTGAGTGATATCAGTTTTATCTAATTATATTGCTGTAGTAATTCCTTAACTTACAGCGCCTTTACAGTAGTGATTTTTCCTGAGTGATATCAGTTTTATCTTATTATATTGCTGTAGTAATTCCTTAACTTACAGCGCCTTTACAGTAGTCATTTTCCTGAGTGATGTCGGCTATATTTAAAGGTACTGCTGCTACTACTACATGTCTGGCTATTTCTGCATTTCTTGAGGTCTTTAAAAGGGCGGCACTAAAATACATAGATAATATTTAATAATAAACAATATATATATATATATATCTGGACTCATAATAGCTATTCAAATCTATTGTGTATAAAAGAAACATATATAAATCATTTCTGTTTTACTGTTGACATTATTCATGTCTCAGGACTGTATGTGCCATAGGCATGAAATGGAAATATTCAGTGCAATTACTTATCAAATTTCATTATCCATAAGGAATAAATTGGACAAATTGGAATTTAAACATCAAATGAAGTGAGGTCTTTATCAATTTTTTATATAAACTTGATACCTTGGAGACAGCCAGAAGTTAATAAAAGTTCAAACTGAATAACAAAATTATACATCAGAGGCAGCCAGGGAACATTATATAGTTGATTAAGTAATTAAATCAATTCACTATGACCTGACTTCTTCATCTTCTTCATACTTGTAAAAATTGCCCAAATGGCTGAAGGATCTTGGGCAAAAATGAAGATGAGCAGTAGACTATTTACCTTTTTTTTTCTAAGGACTCTTTTAATTAAAGACTTATTTATATGAGTTATTCCCCTTCAAAGGGACCTATGTTTTTTAAATATATAATTACTCATTCATGACCTATCATCACTGGATTCATGTTTTTTCCAGCAGCAAGTTGTATCATTGGTTGAACTGGAGCACATGATCATCTTTAGTTTTTGCTGGGATATTTTAAGCTAAATCTAGTTTTTGACTGTGTTATATTCATGAACTGTTATTTTGTCTATTTTTTTTTTGCCATGCTGTTGTTACCCTTCTTCAACTTTTTCATTTCAAATGCCCTACTGGTATCAAATGTTTCTAGTGTCTTAATATTTGTATTCAAAATTCTTTGGATAAAATGAAATTGGATGGATATACACAAGACAACATTCACATCAATCATATACAATGTACATGTCAATTTACATTGATCACTAAAGATTCTTGATTAGAAAATTAGCGATGGGAGCTTAAAAGAGATAAGTGTTTATGGGTGGATAACAATGTTTTCATCTTTGTTCTCTTTACCTTGGCACATGGAAATTACCACCATCTCTTGGATACAGGTCAAATGCTTTAGAGAAAACAACATCCTGGAAATAAATAAGAAATCCAACCATACAGTTCATATTTCACAATATAAGATTTAAAAAAAAAAAAAATATACTAAAATGTTGTGTTGGTTAATATCAAATCAAACGAAAATGCACATGTTGTTGTGCTAAGCTTACCTCACACGTTATTTCAATTATTGGAAAACAGGAGGTAGGTGTCTGACAGAGTTGTAACTCATCACTGTAGAGCTGATGACTAAATATGAAGTCATTCTGTTAGATAGTATTGGAGAAATATGAGACAAAAAATCATTCAACAAATAAGTATACGTACTGGCAAACAGAAAGAAGGGATCTGACCCCAAAAAAGCACACACGTTAGAACTCATCACTGTAAAGCTGCTGACCAATATATAAAGTCATTCAGTAGTTTCTGAGAAAATTGTGTGATGAAAATATTTGTTCCAACGAACTGAAGGATAGACAAATGGACAATGTGATTGAAATGTAGCCCCAATCCTACAGTGGGAGTATAATGATGCATGTTCAATCATTAGCCATAAGCTATTCTTATTTTGTTGTATGAACAATATAATGAAACATGGGCACCACAAACTGATTTCAAGTCTCACCATTACTACTTAGTATTGAACAATGTTTGATAGAGACAGAGGCAAGACTAAAGCTCAAAGGTGCCTACACACTTTAATCTTCTAAGTCTTTGTGATTTTTCAAAACTCAGAACTTAAATACTGTGAATTCATTTATTTTCTTTCATACCATTTTTTGTGGATTGAGGAAAAATTGTATTTCCATGGATATTTGATTTCTTGGTTTTGCCAAAGTCTGTATACAAACCTTTAGAATATTTGTATTTTGTTGAACATTTAAATTCATGGTTTACCTTTACCCATGTAATCCACAAAATCCCACATCTATCAATGGCTGAATGGCTGAGGAGGAAGTTTGGTAGAGACAGATACAAAACCAAAGGTGCCTACAAGCTTTAATCTCCTAAATCATATTGTGATTTTCAAAACTCAAAATCTAAGTATGGTTCATTACCTCTCTAAATGGCTGAGCTTTCAATGATGTTTGAAGCTTGGGTGCAATGATGGAGGTGTATAAAGTCTACAAGCTTTAATCTTGTAAAGCATGTCATGTTCTATGAAACCTATCAGCTTTACGCATTCTAAGAGATGTTGTGCACATGACCTTAAAATTAAAAATTCCCTTATGACAAAGCAATAGCATTGAATGTTGCTTCATGAGGATTTGATTCACAATGAGCAAAACTAATATATAATAGTAAGCTATAAAAAGCCCCAGGAAGACAAAATGTGAAATAATTCAAACGAGTAAACCAGTGGCCTGATTTATACTACAACATGTACAATATATAAAAAACAATAATGGTACTACTGACAACACTAACGACACCTACTGGTTTACTGGATTACATGCTTTACATATATCAATTAAATATTGTATTCAACTATATTTCATAAAAACTCTTAATTAAAATAACCAGTAATTAAAGTTGTTTGAATTTATTGCGATAGTATGTTACAGTCTCCTAATAAATGCACAATATTGATTCTCTCTACTATTTCAATTTGTTGTTCAGTAACATGCATTTATTTCTTCACGCCATGAGAACTATCCAAAATAATCTTACTAGCTGAGAACAAAAATCACCGGTGAGGGCAGGAGTAAAATATCATACGCAATAATTGGGTCCAAACCAACTCAGAATTATTTCACAAGGAATTTGGGTATTTGAGGGTTTTTATTAGGTTCATTTGTTGTTTGTTGTTCAATATTTTCTCCTATTTACATTTCTATCCTGTTGGATGCCAAGAACAAAAAATATATCTGAGAAAACGATTGGTTCTTCCCTTTTTACAGTTGCTTACAGTTAAGTACAAGAAACATAAACGGGAATACATGAAAATTCTGTGTACCTGTACTCTTAGTTTTAAATCATATTAGTGTCATGAATAAATATAATAACAAAATAAGGTAAAAAAATAAGCTTTCCATGATAAAGTAAAAGAATGCATAATACAAATTTTTAGGAGCATATTTAGAATATAATAATTTTAAATAAATGAAGTTACATCATGTAAATATGTGTAATATAAACAAGTACACAATGGAATTCTTTGGAAAACCTATGCACAGTTTATTACCTGGGTTGATGTTATTTTCTTTTCTTCATGTTCATGGTCAGGGTGGGTATAGTCCTATAAATACACAACAGACATGCACAACAGGGAAACATACAACATTTGTATATATTTACATGAATATATATAAAGATTTAAGAAACAAAGTGTATCTACAGTACATATTAGCTACACTTTGTATCTTTAACCTATCAGCTAAAAATACACCAGGAATCATAACTTACTATTTTTGAGACATACATTACACAATAGCATACAGTATAAATAACAAGGGGATCTAAATTTCGAAATAATTCCCAAGTATAAGGTGATAATAACCCTGCATACTCAAGGCATCTATTTAATGATTCTATCGTAGAGAAGAATAATACCAGGCAATGGTTCACTATTATCTATAAAAAGTTATTTGTGTTCTGCACTTCAGAATTGTTTAAAACAGCTGGTGACAGGACATTTAAGAATCTGTATTTGCTGTTCTTATTCATTGTCATGGACATAATAGAAAAACAATGATATGGGTATCCATCCATGACACAAAATCAGTTAATCCACAACAAAAAAAACATACAAAAAGCAAAGGAACAATGCTTTTATTGCTGTTCTTCATCTCAAAGTCACAGTAAGGCCTTCAACACGTAGATTTGGAACATCAAGAGTTCCACTGATGATGGACATGTAAATTTGGAATGTCTTATCTTCAGGCTAAGCACTGATTACTGTGCTTACATAAGGACACAAATTAACAATATGATGTTTAGTTTAATACTTGGGTCATGCTACAGAGATGTAAACAGGAATTCACCTTGATGTTTAGTAAATTTGTTTTTTTTCCCATGCACTCCTGATAAGAATAAAGTTTTCACTGAATAAAGTTTTTAGAAGATGCTCTATGAAGGAATAATGAAGGGCAAGAAATGGAAATATCTGAAACTAATTGGGCCACAACAAAGTGTTGAGTTTAAGAATGTAGTTGTGTGCCCTCAGCCTGTCTATGTATCTATTTTTCAATAGTTTAATTTTCCAATAAATTTGAGATGTTTGAATGCTACAAACATCTATTTTAAGCAAGAGTTTATTGAATTTAGTACTGAAAAAACCCACTAATATATATTAACAGTTGGATCAATAAATGCATTACTGCTACAAAAAATCAATCACTATTAATGTACTTTCAAAAACCATCAAATCTACTGTGTAAAAGTCTTTATTGAAGATTTTCCCTTCTTTCAGCAAGGAAAAGACCAGTAACAAATGTCACAACACCTGGAATTATTAGTCTTGATCAAATATTTAAAATGGAGCAATATTCTATGTTGACATTAGAAAATAAATCTGTTCTGCTTTGAATACTATGATTTAAAAATTCTTATGATATTAAATAGGTTTTCTCAGGATATTTGTTTGCTAGTTAGTTCTCAAGAGCTTATACAATAGCTGTGAACTATAAATCATAGCTGAAAATTGATCTATACAAGTTTATGATGTCTGCTACCAATAGAATTTATCCGTTTACTAGAGCATTTAATTAAAAAGCAAATAGACCACATTGTCCTTCCATTGAAAAGGGCTTTGAAAATCAAATTGAAATTACTTTATGCTTGTTTCAATTATGCAATGAAATATTTGAACACTTAGTTAAAAGAAAATCCTGCATTTGCGTTAATCGTTAAGAAAATAAACTTCCAGTATTTACCTTTACAGTTATAATGTTTCTTGTAACAGGAAATGAATCTCTGTAACCTTACAACTGTGTAATGTGACAGCTTCTAGAACATTTCAAATAAAGATGCCAGACTTTTCATTAAGAAATTTTCTGACTTTAAAAAAATAAACTGTTAACACAGAGATATGTCTCGCCTTTTTGTACTTTTGAAAATGCAAATGTTGAAATTAAAATAGCAATACTTTAACATGTTAGTTATGCAAATATTCAAAGTCAATGAACCATGAATGAAGGTACATGGCAAAACAATCTCCATGGAAATGAGATGTACCAATGCTAATACAACTGCAATTCTGTTCATTAAAATTTAAAACATTATATTTAATCATGATAAATGAAAGATCTAAAGCATATCAGATTGAATTTCATATATATATTTTCAATATATATTTGGTTACATGAATTATATATTTCTTAAATATATATTAAACCAGTTGTCTAAGCCTATCAAAATAATAGATACATAATTTGTGAAGAAAGATGAGCATGTTAAAAATCAATGGTACTTTCTAGTGGAGCATCCCACTGAAAGCTCACATAGTTTGTGAACAAAGATTAATGTGATAAAAAACAAGGATATTGTCACACGGATCATCCCTTGAAAGATCACATTATTTGTGTGAATTTAAAAAAAAAATTCTTTCAATCTGGTGAAGAGACTAGCTCCATACTTCCTACGACATTTTTTTGAAATTGCAATCAGGTGACCCTCACATTTGACTTTGAATCACAATGGGTCAATCTGTCACCATACTGATCCATTGCATAGACAACTTTCAAATTTGTTCATTTTCCTGTACATTTCCTACATCAAAATGCTTATGTTGTTATGTCAAACTAAAAACCGATTGTTCAATGACGTCACTTACACCAATTGACTACGGGTCAACAGGTTTAACTAATTCATAAAAACAACTTGAGATCGGTCTTAAGAATATTAACTATGAAATGATAAATTGTTAGTACAACAACCTGTATTGTGCCTAAAAAATCACAAAGACATAAATCTTGCATACATTTATACAAACACATTCATGATTACTGGCAACATAGTATTGACTGTATATATATATCACTTCTGTAACTTTGTGTCAAGGAACAATGTATGACTTTATTCTAATTTCAATTTGACTTGTACACATAGTAATTTCCCATATTTATAATTACCACATGGTAGATTTGCATGTTTATTCAAGTAAAACAGTAGATATCCCAAAGTGTGAAAAAGATGGCAACTATCCTATATCTGTCTAGAAAGGAGAACATCTGTACATGTCATATAGAAAAAGCAATTTTGTTAATTTGACAAATATAAACTCAATTCTAAATAGAAAAAAAATATGTAAATTACTTCAAACTTGTGCACTGGATATAAATGTGTCAAATTCTACATATATTAATAAAGCTTTCACCATTATTAAACATTTGAGTTAGTAAATATATGTGCTAAGAAATGTGAGATGATCCTACAGTATGCAGAGGTAGGCACACAGTTACCTGTGACGTTGACCTAGATAGGCGTTTGTTATTATATTTCTGCATAATTCTTGCAAACATGCCTGTAAACTTGTTTTTATCCTAGATGAATTAAATATTTGATGTGAGAAATAGATCTTTTGTATACTGGAAAGTGTTTTTTGTATACTGTGTATAAAAAACTGGAAAGATCCTTGAGACTCTGTAAACCAATTTAATGAACAAATACACATAAATAACAAAGTCAGTGAATAGAATGTAAATTTTCTGTTGTCAATCTCAGATGATATGCTTCAAGGCCAAATAATACAACAAAAAACGTGTCCTTTTGGGTTATTTACCAAAAAAAATGGGAATGATTTCAAGCAAATATTGCAAAATTATGCTACTATGTGCCAAATTTATGGTTATTATATGTAAGTTTCTGATAAAAATGTCTTTTTAAGCATTAACTATGCTAATTAAAAACCCTATATCCTTAATATCAAGATTCAATACATAGTAATAAATCAAATACAACTCACTTTATTTTTTCAAAAATTTGAAATGAATCCTTGTAGCGATTCTTAATTATAAAGCATCATAACTTTTACTGGAGATTCAATTGATTTAAGAATTAGTCTTTACTGGGTGAACCTGAATATTATATGACTTTCACAAATGATCTGGATATCCTAAGGCTTTCTTTGAAATAAAGAATAAAAATGCATGAGGAACATTTGCTCCTTTAAATTATACCTCCATTTTATAAGTGTTTTCACTGCGTTAGTTGTAAAAAAACAAACAAAAATTCAGAACAGGCTGAGTGTAATTTGTGCCAAAAACAAGCATGCTTGATGTTTTTCTTATGCTTACTTCTAACATGTTATTTTATCATTCATCATAAAACATGCAAGACATGCTAACATACATGCAAAAGCTAAAAACAAAAAAAAGCAGACAAGCTTCAAATCAAAGCACAATTACATGTATAATAAGCAAAAAAAAATTGCAACAAGTTTTGTACTGCATGAAAAATATGTTTAAAGTTTTATTAAGTGTTTTCTGTGTTTATTAGAATTTTTGCACCTAAAAAGATAGAGATTAAAAAGGCAAGGGTTGAGGTTTTGAGAAAATATTTGAACCCACCATATATTTGTGTGTCTCCCGAGTCAGGAACCTGGTCGTGATTGTCTTATGTGATGGTATTTTTGGTTATTTTGAGTATTTGTCCCAAGTCAGAAACCTGGTCGTGATTGTCTTATGTTATGGTTTTTTTTGTTATTTTGAGTATTTGTCCCGAGTCAGGAACCTGGTCATGATTGTCTTATGTATGGTATTTTTTGTTATTTTGAGTATTTGTCCCGAGTCAGGAACCTGGTCGTGATGGTCTTATGTTATGGTATTTTTGGTTATTTTGAGTATTTGTCCCGAGTCAGGAACCTGGTCATGATTGTCTTATGTTAAGTTATTTTTGGTTATTTTGAGTATTTGTCCCGAGCCAGGAAACCTGGTCGTGATTGTCTTATGTATAGTATTTTTGGTTATTTTGGTTATTTTGTGTTTGATAGCAGATTTTTGATAATTTTGTGTTTGACAAGTTTTAAGTTTTTAAGACTGCATGTTGCCTATTAGATGATCTAGATGTCTTTTGGTTATTGGTGTTGTATTGGTTACCCTCTCATTGACATATATCCCACATCTCCATTTATTCATATATGTATATATATTATCTTTAATTAAGATTCAAACATTGCAAAACCCTGTGAATGATTCAAACCATCCAATGTATCATCTTGAACAAACTGATTGACTGTGGAATATTCTTTCAAGCATAATCTGTTTTATGACACACTATAAAAAGCCCTTACCCCTTCGAGTGAATCATCTATCAAGTACACACTGCATCTCTCACATTTCAGAAGTCCCTGAGCATCTAACATTATCTTTTTTATCAATTTATCCAGATTGGTTTGTTCTGTAAAAACACCTCTAGCTAGATTTAATAACATCTAAAGTAGAAAAAGCAAGTACTTCATTATAGTTTTCTAGCCTTATATTAAAGATATATATTAAAATATAAGTGATGGTTATAGCTCAGATTCTATAGCCATTGGACCAGGGGAGCTAAAATACCAATCAACATGACTGATATATCATCATAAAATGCTTTTTTCAATGAGAGTCAATCTCAGCCCCTAAAAATATTGTATTTATATTACTGTCAGAACAAAAATCTATGTATTGTAATATGAAAGAAATTATCATAAATATATAGTAATAGCATTTTTATTTTTGATAGACTTATCAGCAGGAATATCAAGCAACCTGCTATGGCAAACTGATAGTCTTTTGGGGCCCTTCATAGCTTGCTGTTCAGTGTGAGCCCAGGCTCCGTGTTGAAGGCCGTACTTTGACCTATAATGGTTTACTTTTTACACATTGTGACTTGGATGGATAGTTGTCTCATTGGCGCTCATACCACATCTTCTTATTTATATTTTCACTGCACATGCTGTACAGGTTAACTTGTATCATAGAAGCATATGGCAACTGGTCCGAGTACACAGTTATTTCGTAGTGCATTTCTTTTAGACAATAAATGAAAATTAAAAAAATCCCACCTGCGCTTTCTCAATAATATTTTTACAGTGTGTTGTACTACTTTTGGGACAAATTATATCAAAATTATAGAAAACTTCATCGGCTCTAACTCAAAATATGGACAATTTCATGCTGAGGGGGTCTTCAAATCTTTTGACAGCCTCCGAAGTGCTAATTTTTAACATTTTTCAGCTGGACCAAATCACTACTTTACTTTAAAATTCATGACCCAAATTTTTTTACAGTGTCATTTCACCCCCCTACTTACTATTTGAGTCATAAAACATGGAGAAATAAATTCGGAAGGGGTATAAAAAAAATCGACAAGTAACACACTGTCCACACTAGGGACTATATTCGTGGACAACGAAAATCAAAGGACGATAACTGTGTACCCGGACCTAATAGGGTAGAAAAAGTTGACCAATCTTAATGAAACTTGGTATGACCAAAGCTTATTAAATTATAAGACTGCTTACAAAGTTTCATGGCAATAGGATATATATTATAGACAATATGACTAATTCTATATTCAACTTTGAGTGTTAAATTTAGATGTTAAAATTGAAAATTTTCAACTATCAACATTTGGGGCTTAAAAAATTTAAATATTGCAAAAAAATACTTTTGAAATGCCTTAATATATAATATATTATGTATTAAAAGCAATAGAGTACTCATTTGATTTATCAGACTTATCATAATTATTAAAAAGTCAAATTTATATGAGCCTGTGGCTAATAATGGAGGTTTTCCAATGAAGGGGGGCCTTACATGAAGATGTAATATTTTCCAGCAATTTTAAATTTGTAAAGCTTTTTGGTTATAAATAATCCTTACATATGTATTTAATGTACTTTAAATGGAAAGAAAACTTATAAATAACATATCACATTAGTTTAAAAGGGTCTTAGGCCAAGTAAGACTGAAAATAATTTAGGGTCAATTTAGGCCGTATCACATATTTACATTTAAAAATGCATATTGAAGCTATATGAAATAAAATTTTGTGTCTTTTCTATCATTTCTATACTCAGGTGACATGATACAATAAATCTGAGCACAAAAAGACTCTTGCATTCAACTTTTTTTGCAAACAGTATGGTCTGATACAAAGATTTTTCACTTTTTAGTGAAAAACATGCATGCAATTTTAGTCTCAACAGGCTTATATTTGAACCACTTGCTATCCGACAGAAGAAAAGAAAGATATTATGTGACATAAAACAGGTACAAAAGACATTGTTAAGTGCTTTTTATACAAATTTAGTGAGGTCTTTATAATGGACTTCAACTTTTATGTTCCAAGCTCCTCACATTTAACTCGATCCAAACAGGGCGTTAGACGAGGACCATATATACAACACATTTTGAACATATTGTCTGAGATAATCTTCTTTTCTGTAGATTCAGAGTTCACAAATGAGTAATACAACTGGATTGAAGCATAGAAACACAAATATTGACACATAAAAACCTGTCAGATAGAAAGTCAGAATGCCACTTATGCATCAAAATTGAAAAAGCTATGAAATGCTTATTTTGACCATAACATGCCAAAATTGGTCATTTTTGCAGAAATTCTATCAAATAAAAGTTTTAATCCTTTAGTTTTATGCTATTTGATAAATTGACACCATCAAATCATTCAGGGAAGTTGCCAAAGTACAGATTCTATATTTCCTGATTTCACCTCTTAGGTCCGAGTACACAGTTATTTCGTAGTGCATTTCTTTTAGACAATAAATGAAAATTAAAAAAATCCCACCTGCACTTTCTCAATAATATTTTTACAGTGTGTTGTACTACTTTTGGGACAAATTATATCAAAATTATAGAAAACTTCATCGGCTCTAACTCAAAATATGGACAATTTCATGCTGAGGGGGTCTTCAAATCTTTTGACAGCCTCCGAAGTGCTAATTTTTAACATTTTTCAGCTGGACCAAATCACTACTTTACTTTAAAATTCATGACCCAAATTTTTTTACAGTGTCATTTCACCCCCCTACTTACTATTTGAGTCATAAAACATGGAGAAATAAATTCGGAAGGGGTATAAAAAAAATCGACAAGTAACACACTGTCCACACTAGGGACTATATTCGTGGACAACGAAAATCAAAGGACGATAACTGTGTACCCGGACCAACTGCTAAACCCTCAGTAAACAGAGATAACCTTCTGGGTAATGATCTACATGGAGACATGCTATTGAATCTATATTTTATTGTTTTGTATATTACACATGTATTACTTTTTGTTTAGATACAAACTTTTGAATGATATTATGATTACAGTGAATCAATAAGTATTGTTAGAAGGATCAATCATTACAGGATGCCTTTTTATGTTACTGTCTCAATGATAATTAATTACATTTTGACCATTATGCAAAAGTGCTTGTATCTCAAAAACAAAGACACTGCCCTATCTAAATATTTCCAATAATTTAAATGATTTATATATTATGATTGAAAATGCTATTATAATTTTGAATATCAGCAAAGAACTTCCTAAGGACTCTCTTTCTATACACACCTGATTTCTCTTGTATTCCATGACAGACATTTCAAATAACTGTGCATTAGTTAATCCAATACCACAAAATGTTAGGTACTTCTCAAACAGCTGTAGATAAAACAAAATAATAATGTCATTAATATATATATGTTGTCATAGTTGTATTCCCTTGCAATGTAATAGTTTTCAGAAAAAAATGAAATTTCAGTCATTAGCTCAGTGTTTTTTTTAATTCAACATTTGGATTTATGTAGACATACATCATGTTCGAAATATGCTTATCAAATTTCAAAGTATTTTACTGAGACAAATGAATGCCAATAAGTATGATGCAGATTTTAGATGTTTAGAATTGTCAACATTCTATGATTATTTCAGACTTTGAATCAAATAAAATTTAAATTCATATGGTGCCAAAGCTAAGAAATAACTAATGCTTAAACCATAATATTTCGTTTTATATTCTGAAAGTATTTATTTTACATGTTTAATCTTAAAAATTCTTTCTCTTTGTTCATCTGGTGTATAAGTATATTTCCCATGTATTATATGGGGTATTTCTTTGTGATTGTTCTCTCTATTGTTTTCTTTTAAAAGTCAAAATAAAATGTGTATATATTGAAATAAGCAAACCATCAGAAAAAATTTATTGAAAAGTGAAAGTAGGGTAAGAATTAGCCTTCTGTACTTATTGAATACACTTATATTAAATCCTAGCCTTTGGATATTTACCATGTTTACAGGGCTCTCACAATTGAAAAATTTTCTGAAATATGTATATTTTATTAGAATAATGATGTTCTGTAAGCAGTTTTATTTATCTAATATTTGTGTCAGCGCATTTTTTATATAACTCAATTTTACTTTAGAAAGATAGCACTGTCAAAATAACAGTCATGACAGAGGTCAGAGGCCATGTGGTTTTCATGGGTACAGGAAGAGAATCCACTAGTATGTCTACTTAGAAAAATCTTCTTACCCTTTCATCCTCGACAGTAAATATTCCATTTCCAGCTTTGTTTATAATCTGTGCAACCCCTATAACCTCTCCTTCATAATTTGATATTGGCATACACAGAATACTCATTGTTTTGTATCCTGTCTTTTTATCTATATCATTATTAAACCTGGGATCCTAAAATCAATGAGAAAAGTATACTAAATAAATCAAATCAAAGTTGTTGTTAGACCAAGAGTACCAAGCTTTATATCACAATATATATCAGAATGTTTTATATTTATACAATGATATAATTAGCATCAAAGGTACATACTCAATGACCAGGCAGTTATTACTAAATCATTGGACACAAATCTGAACTGACCATCATGAACATGATGAAGAGCCATTAGCTTAAGACAAAAAATAAAAAAAAGTGCATGTTAAAGCGAAGATGACAACCACAAGTACAAGTACATGTAACGGCCATTACTTATGAAGTTATGATAGTATGATACTAAACCCCTTAGGGGAGGAATTGTGCTTGATTTTCATATGATGAAGACATAATCTTTCAATCAGTTTAATTGAGGTCTGGAGCTGGCAAAAATTGTCAGTAACTGCTAGTAATCCTTTATTAATTTATGTTGATCATTGTCATTTTGCTTAGTTTTTTCTGTTACTGATTCTAACATCGGACTCAGTCATCTTTTAAACTGAGTTTTACTCTGCGCATTGCTGTGTGTTTGTTTATTGATATTCCACATTGGCAAGAGGTATTGGGGGAGGGTTGAGATCTCACAAAACATGTTTAACCCTGTCACATTTTTGTCCCTGTCCCAAGTCAGGAACTTCTGGTCTGTGTTAACTCTTGTATGTTTTTTTCAATTTTGGTTAATTTATATGTTTTGGAGTTTAGTGTAACGTCATTTTTGCTGAACTAGTATACATTATTGTTTCGGGCCAGGTGAAGGCTGCCTCCAGTTTGGGATTTTCTCGATGTGTAGATTCAAGACCCATTGGTGGCCTTGGGCTGTTTTCTACTCTTTGGTTGGGTTATCGTCTCTTTGACACATTCGCTGCTTCCATTCTCAATTTTACTACTACTATCAGTCAGGGATACTACTTGTACTAGTTATTTTTATTTACTTGAAGAAGTAAATAATAATATACTTATATAAGTAAATTTGTTATATTGCATATTTTCTTATAAAGTTTGAATAATCACCCCTTAATTTTCTCCAAAAATTTACTTGTATATAAGTAATTTTTTTTTACAATCCCTAAAATTCTCAAGTTTTGGGATGTAAAACATGCCTTAAACAATTTTTCTCTGGTTAGCTCATAATTTTTTATTAGAGTTCAGTGTTTCATCTCATTAATTCAACAGAGAAACTAATTGCCCAAAGATCTTAAGTAATTGGGCAAGGCCTTCAAAAATTGCCCCTTGGAGGCTTGTAAATGTGCAGTGTTTTGAAGATGACAGACAAATGAGATTTTCATTGTCCATGAAATTATTCTTCAATAATTAGTATAGACATCTGCAAAGGACAGACACTTAAAATGCTATTAGAGCAAAGAAGTCCTTAGAAATTCAACAAAAGAAGATAGTGACTTTTTTACTTGTATAAGTAAAAAAATCTGAATGTTAAAGGGACATAACTAAGCCACAAAAATAATTTACTTATACAAGAAAATAAAATACACTTGTATAAGTATCTTACAATTTTACTTATATAATTGTATATAAATATTTACTTCTTCAAGTAAATAAAAATAACTTGTACAAGTAGTACCCCTGACTTACTATCATACATGTAACTTATAAATAGTGAATGACCAATCAAGTGCATAATCCTATAGAGTTGTTACGGAATATATCTGTCAGTTGTTACTATTGGGAAAAAATACACAAGTTATCTATAAAAATAAGAAGTTGTGCAATAATTGCCAATGATACAATTTGCAACTCTCCACAAGGGACCAAATGACATAGAAGTTAACAGCTATAACTTAAGTCACTGTGCAGTCTACATGTTTTTGTCAAACTATATTAACAAATTTACAAATGTAAGTCATACCTTCATGAACATAAAGTGTATCATTTTTAATAACACTTTCCAGTTAAATTAGTTGGCAAATGATCTGAAATGATTTAGGATCAACTAACAAAATTATACAAGTTTAGTATTACAATAAATATTTCAAAAGACATACAAGGACCTACATGTATATAATATAGATTGGCTATAGAATATGTAAGTCTGTGGTCCTTACTGGGTTTCTTAAAGTTATTAATTTGGCATAAAATATTTGCCCCTGGACATTTAGCACAAAACAATAAATCTATCAATCAATTAAATTAATCTGCACCTTGTATTATTTTGTTAATGTCAATCTTGGTTACCACAAAAGTCATTAAATACATTTATACTTCATCATGTTCATGTATGTCAAGTTAGTCAGTTTCAATAGACTGTTTTCATATTACCTACTTTTGACTCTGGAGTTTATATTTTTACGACAGGTTACCTACTCTGTGGTAGGACATCCTGGTACTTGGTCAAGGAAGAGCTACTTTAAGAAGTAAAATCAATCTTACAATCGGCACAATTTGGGGGAGAAATTAACTGTTTCATGTTTCATTCAAGACAAAAGCATCAAAAAACAGTAAACTTTCTCCCCAAATTGCACTGTTCATATGTTTGATTTTACTTCTTTTGGTTGCTTTTACTTGACCAAGTACCAGGATGTCCTACTGCGGAGTAGGTAACCTGTCAAAAATTATATAATCCGGAGTCAAAAGTCGGTAATATGAAAAAAGACTATTGAAAGGAAACTAGAATGCACCAAAACAAGGAAAAATAATTTAACCTTAGACAGTGTAAGCGTCTAGTAACAAAACAAATTTTCAGGTGTATACCCATTCCCTGCCTCCTGGCAGATAAAAATAGGATAGGATGGTAGGTAAAATTATTAATATTTTAAATATTCTTCATACATTGTAGACTATATATTAGGAAATGTTTGGACCTTAACCTTAACAGTGCTTAACAAAAAATGTCTTGACTTTTAAAGGTGGATAACAAAAAATGTCCATGAAATGTGTAAGGAAAGGCATGCAAATTTTGGGTACCGGTAGGTAGGGAGGCAGGAAACATAACTATACTTTTTTTTGGCCTTAGCAATATTTAAATGATTTCCTGTCATCCTGTCTATTGTCTAATGATTTATTATAATGCATTTCAAAAATAAAATTGTATTCCAAAGATTTCTATCTGTTTGTGTTATGAATGCTTCAATAAAATCAAAACCAAACATACAGAATTATATCTTCAATGGTCTTTATTTGAAATTATTGTCAACATTATGCAATCTACATTGTAATCAATGGAACATGGATAATTCTTAGGTAATAAATCAATTCAACAATAAAGGTTATCTCAACTATAAATGATTCAACCAAGACCAGGAAATCCTTTCGTTTGATAACTTGATCATGTTTCAGTTTTGCCATTTTTTAAAACTTTACATTTACTGAATACTGCAACCATACTAATGAACTGTTAATTTGTCATGTTTGTCAAACCATCAACATGACCAGGAAGTAAAATATGGTCTATTTACCTTGATTATTCATTAAAACTTTGATAATTCTAATGCATTAATCATTTATTCCATTAATATATAGTATTACATCTTATATATAATCAATAGTATTATATATGTACACCTGTAGTGACATGTACAATACATATACAAAATGTAGCTATGAAAGTACATTTTTTTATATGTTTTTACATGTGTATCCTAACATGTCCAATTACAATTTTATTCAAAATCACAGGGCATGAAGGGCGGAGACAATTGAAGAGTAATGATTGTCGTTTGTCAAATTGTCCACATTAAGTTCTTACCAGTAAATAATAACTTTCAACTGGATGAATTGTCCAGTTGAACAGCCAATATCTTTAGTCATTATTAGATTTTCAACACACGCAATGCTCATTTGACTAAAATTTACTCAGGTTTTCTCCTCTGAGTTGTTTCAAATTTTGTCATGCCAGAAACTTTTATAGCTTACCATACTTTGTTCATTGTTGAAGGCCTTACGGTGCCCTATATTTGTTTACATCCTCGTCCTTTGATTTCTGGCAGATAGTTGTATCATTGGTTATAACACATGTAGCACATCTCCTTATTTGTATTACTAATTAGTACCTTAGGCTAAACAATATAAGACATCAACAGAATATTTTACAGCAGTACAACTGATCGCTATTAAAGTTATTGGCATATTAAGGTGCTGAGAACATTACAATACATATTAATTGTACCTCATAAGCTTCTGTTATGTTGACTGTATCTTTGGCTTGTGCTACATAACCAGCAATTCCTCTACCAAAAGGCACTTTGATTTCTGTCTCCTCCGTATGCAGTGATTCTTGTAGCGTTGAGGTTTCTGTCACATCAAAAAGTTTTGAAACAAGATGTCTGTTTTCTTTACTTCCCCTTACTAAAAACAAACTACTACGATCACTTTTTGTAAGAATATTAACATTTTGTAAAATTTTATGACATAAAACATTAACATCCAGTTCTGTAGCAATGTCTTTTATCAACTCCGTAAACAATTCATCTTCTGACATTTTCCTTAACTCTGTCATATTTTTCCTTTCCTGCTTGATTCTAGTTATATTACCCTCCACATACCTTTTAAACATAGAAGTTGTAATAGAATTACGTGGAGCCGTGTTGAACATTGGCATTTTTCTTGGTGTACTTGGTTTAATATCACTTATTTTCTTTATTAAAGTTGGTGTCCCATGCTTTTTCAAGTGTTCTACAATAAAATCTGTATTGTTGAGTAGAAATTGTTCCACCTCGTTCCCAGACATTTTGGGTTCTTCCATTACTGTTTCCATCTCGGTAGTTTTGATACTAACTTTCATCAATTAATAGATGTCGATACAAACCTTTCATCAATTAATAGATGTCGATACAAACTTTCATCAATTAATAGATGTCGATACAAACTTTCATCAATTATTAGATGTCGATACTAACTTTCATTAATTATTAGAAGTGGATACAAACTTTCATCAATTATTAGATGTCAAAGATGTAGAATTTTGTCTTAAAAATGTTGATTGAATTCTCCATACAATGGAACTACTTCACATCTTTTTCCATCATGATTTTCTCTTGTGAACTGATAATACTGCTACACCTACAAAACACAAAACAAATTTAATTATCTAGTGGTATCTGATTTACCTTTTTATTTAGACTCATAAAGATTGAAATTGAAACAACTATATTGGCACGCACATTTTGCATTTGTATGCCTGCTATCACCATGATCACCGGAAAAATAAAAGTTTTTTGACAAATTTTGTTTTGCCACACACATTTTATCATTTGATATCAAATATCAAAATTTTACTGTTTGTCAAATTCCGTTCGGCCAACTGGCCAGTTATGGTAAAGAACATAGACATATCATATTTCTTTTGTATGTAGATCACTAAAGGTCTAAGGCATGCTGCTGCTACTAGAAATGTTTGCATACATATTAACCATTAACTATTTGTCACTTTTTTTATAAATTAACTCTTCTCATACAAGAACAACTATGTTCAAGAATCAGAAAAGATATAAGACTAAAACCAAACAATATATTTAAGCAACAACCCACCACAACATACGATACCTTAATAAAAGAAACAAAATGTGACCATAAAACCAATTTGACGATAATTATTCCCTTTCAACAGGAGTTAAAGTACATTTATAAGCTGATAATGCAAATTGTGGAAACAAACATAATAATCAAATTCATGTGCTTGTTAATTTGCTGAAGTATCTTCTAGTAACCACAAAATCCAAATTAGAATTGTAAATATCTACTGATAATAATATATTATAACATTGATTAATTTCTACAAGCAATTAGATAATAACATTTAGAAATTGCCCTTGAAATCCCAATACCTTATATATATATAATATATACCATTAGTCTTCTAGAGATTTCCTTTCAAGATAAATCATAAATAATTTTCAATATATAGTTAATGCAATGTATGAAATAATGAAAATGATAGAGTTGAACAGTTAGGATCTGAAATAACCGTACGTTAAAACATTGAAACATAAGTCAAATCAATATATTGTCTGTGTACCTAAGTTATAAGTGTTAGCTTTCTTACAAATATACTCTTTCAGTCTGACATATATATGATTTCAGACTGAAGTATATATTATAGCTAGTATTATATTCATGAGAACTGGATATACACCGAGACTTAAGGACGAGGATATAAGCAGTGTGTAAACAACTACTATGACTACAGGTTAGCTTATGGTATTCAACAATGAGAGAAAATTGAAGTCCATATATGGACCTCTAGATTATGTCGCTTTTAGAAATGGATTTTATTGAGTTATTTGGATTCTAATTCATTGATGTTTCCCTTACTAACATCAACCTTAGCTCAATAATCATAAAACATTGTGACATTTAACTTATGAAAACTTATATACAAACTGTTGGATTTAATATTAAAAACGTAAGCTAATATTGTACAGTGATCGTATTATATCACATATCATGGTATTAATGTAACTGCAAAAAGATTGATTTTTTTATTTAGAATGATGGATGATTAATCAATACCAGTAATGATTTTTATTTTATGAGCTGTGTTAATATAACAGATTAAATCAATAAATTACCCTCTTAAAAATTTAATTAGGATGTTTGTGAGTACTAAATTACTCTGGTCAATATGTCTTTAAGTGCTTATTATTAAAGGTCAACTGACAAAAAGAGATACCTACATCTCAATCTGGTAAACAGTTTGTTACAGTGCTTGAAACTTATCAGCCTGTATAGAAGAAACTACAGGACAACAGTTTTACTGAAGGATCTTTTGAAAAGGGGAGATAATTATAACACTGTATAAACCTAGCTAGCCCAACTGCTTCAAATACTGAAACAGATGATGATAAAAGTGCAACCAGTTTCTTCTTTGTACTAAAGAGAAAACTATTAGGCCATGTAAAATTAACTTTCCAGTTCTCAGACACCGCCCTGTCAAGTCAATTTCCCACCGCTGGCTTGTATTTATCAACAAACTGAAATAAATAGAAATATATTTCATTTCGTTTGAAATTGGGTTTTCCCGTTTTATATTTGTATTAATTATATATAGATGGGAACTAGAGTAACTAGTTCTGAAACTAGTTCTGCAAGAGTATGTACTATTTATAAAGTTTAATGTTACGTGTACAAGGCACGAGAAAAGTTTTGGCGGTTTCTACAGGTGGGGTTTTATGGTACTATATAAAGTTTGGCATTTAAATGTATTAGTATCGAAGGTGCTCGCAGTTACATCGAATCGTCACGAAGTTAGTCACATTAGTATATATACAGTGGCTGCTATGTTTATAACATGTATTTATATATGTTGGTTGTATCAAAGATACCTGTATTGTAAAGTTTAATAAAATAATGTATCCCAAGAGAAGATAATATGTTACTGCGAGCAACTAATCCTATTTCTGTGTTTGTTTTGTTTAAAGCCTATTGAATTTAGAGTAGAAATACTTTAAATTCGGACGAGCAGGGCGAGGCCGAGGGAGAATTTAATAAGTTATAATCTGTCCTGTTCAAATTTTACTGCTTTCAAACAAGTCAACGAGCGATAACTCTGAACAAGTTCTGACAGCTTGTGTTTTAACCTCTGTTTGTGGAAGTTTAGACTTTCAGGCCACTCCAACATTTTCAAAATGTCAAAATGGAAGCAGAAGAGAAAATGCTTCTATACTTGATAATAGTTGAACTTAGGGATGACACTAGTCCTAATAATTATGACGTCTTGAAAGGCTATTTTAATTTTTTTTTCTGTGACGCCTTCCTAACGAAGACCGTAGGACATGTAGGAAGGTGTCACAGAAAAAAATAAAAATAGCCTTTCAAGACTTCATAATTATTTGGACTAGGATGACACAACTGTAAAGGTCTGGAGAATGGATTGCTTAGGCAAATTTCCAGATACCATTTGAGATAAAATGTGTGGAATCAAGTACACGAGGTTCGTTGGTACAACCAAACATCAGACTTTTTTGAAAACTTACATCTCAATTATTTTATAATATTCTTTTATAAACCGTCGTTGCAATTTTTTTGTTACAAATAATGTCACGTCAAGCAAGGGAAAATGGCTGAGATGGAAACTTGAATTCAGGCTTTATTATCATTATGCATATATATATATACGTAAGCCTCTTTGGTCAAAGTTGAATTAAACGGGGACGACATTTCGACATTCTTTACCTGGGTATCCCTTTTTTGAAACGGCAATGACGTCATCAACGTTACTCGATGGTATGTCCTATTACCAAATTTGTAGATAGAAATACGCTTAAAAATCATCTTTTTATAGGTTGTGAGTTGATTTTTAGCTCTTAAGATCACTTCCTGGTGGTTTGTAGTAGTTTTTATTCGAAGCTAAGCGGGACAGAGTCCAGCGACTGGTTTCAGTTTTTTTCTCTCGCAATGGGCAGTACTCGTTTCAACGAAGAACCAGTTATATAAAGGAAACAAATACCGGAAAATAAACCACTGATCAATATAGTACTGCAACGTACCTCGATAAAGTCTAAAACCCATATAATAAGAAAATTAGTCAAACATTGATTGCCAGATTTCTTTCCCGATATTAATAGCTGTGTATGAACCTTGACTTCTTATAATAATTCGAATAAATTGGTCTAATACAAAATATCATCTTTTCAAGTATATGATCTATGATCTATGATCACTATCTTTCGGCTTCAATAGCACTCGATATGCTTTTATTGTTATCAGTTAATGTTGTGCTGTTTTATAACTACTTATTTGCATTCTGCATGCTTTGTTTTTATTTGTTATTTAATATTTTTGTATATGAGTTGAAAATTTTATCAGAAATTATGTTCAAATGTTTATTAAATATGCCGAATCAAAATGAAGTGTTGCCGTTACCGGCTTACTTATTACCGTTAGTTCGGTCAGTAATAGGAATAGGCTTACTCCTTGAATGCCAATATTCTTTGATCTGCATACAAATAACAGGTAACATTTTGTTGGCACTCAAGAAATAGAAACAGGTAAGATTCAATTTAGTCAAAACAAAATGAGTAAATAAAATGAGCAGGTAGGCATTGGGCTTAATATATATATTGAACTGTTATAAAGCTAGGTCCAAGGATTGACTTAGTCTCCTGGGCAAATAAAAATTCAAGGTAAAATTACTTTCTATTTGTTAAAATGGATTAATATTTTGTGGAGTGGATTAATATTTGGTGGAGCAATTGAAAAAAAAATCCGTTATTGACAGCTCAGTGAATATATTATATAAACATAATAAAAATACGGAATCCTGATATATTTATTCAGGAACATATACTGTTCCGAGAGTTTATTCAAACAACTCTTTGACAATTTTCTATGGGTACAAATCATGTTTATTCGATCATGTAAAATAAACGCATAGATATATAAGACACAATACAAATCACAATATAAATATATAAAGCACATGAAACAACCATATCTATATTAATTAAGCACCTATGAAGAGTTACCATCTATAGTAAATAGATAGTTTATTAACGTCTCACCTTTAATATACACAATAGAATATTTACATATATCATAAAAACATAAATAGATATTAATGCCATTCTTAAAAGAATTATGAGAGACAATAGTAACATCACAAAACACTACATTGCCAATCTAGTCCGAGTGTAATGACTTTAATAGTTGTACTGGTCGGAGCTAGATCGAGACAACATCTGAGGATTGAATTGCAGAAATCTATCTGGTCTAATCAGTTCAGGTTGGTCAGTCTATTTTAAATTTCTTTGTATTTACGTTTTCGTAAGCACGCTTTCCATATATATGTACTAGTACCTACAGCATACTGATAGTGTTGACGAGTTACCGATAAGCACATTTTGTTTGCTACCATCCACACAATACTCGGTGACAAAGTCAGTCAGCTTGCCGTCATAGATGTTAAGATTGGCGTTTTCTTATTCTTCTAGTGCGTGGAACCAGACGTTCTAGGATTTTTTAACAGGCGCTATCAGTAACATCTAAGCATGCAATATGAATGTCTGCGTTGTTGCTACATCATGTTTAAAGGCCTTATTCGTGTGTTTTACTGAAGTAGTAGA